TCAGCTGCTCGACAGACGACGTGTGAAGTGGTGCGACACGCGCAAGCTGTCTGAGTCGACTGAGTCGCTTGCGCTGGAGGTCATCGGCAGCGTCCTCGGCGGCGTCGCTCTCGACTTGAGCCACCCATGCACACCGCTACATGCTCAGTTGCCACGCACGCACACCGTGGTGCTTCGTGTGTTGTAGTGTGTTGTGTTGTGTTGTTGTTGTTGTAGTGTTGTTGTTGTTGTTGTTGTTGTTGTTGTTGTTGTTGTTGTTGTTGTTGTTGTTGTTGTTGTTGTTGTTGTTGTTGTTGTTGTTGTTTAAGTTGTTGTTGTTGTTTAAGTTGTTGTTTAAGTTGTTTAAGTCGTTGTTGTTAACATTTTCCGAACCAACGCGTTCTTCTTTGCTACTGCGCGTATCAGATTGGTACCGAGGAAGGCATTGTGATCAACGGCAACAAGAAGGCAAAGACGCCGGCAGAGAAACTTGCACAGACATACGGCGCCCACCACGGTAAGGGACACACACACACACACACACACACACACACACACACACACACACACACACACACACAAAGAAACACACGCACGCGATCCACATGTCGTACGTCAGACGCCACCTCGCTCACGATCTTCCTTGACCATGGCCTGCTTTTTGGTTTGGTGGGTTGCGTCAGGCCCCGTGTACACTGTGAAGCGCAACCCGTTCTTCCAGAAGTACTTTATGACGGTTGGCGACTGGACCTCACGCATCTGGTGCGAGGACGTCCGCGAGGTATGCATACACACACACACACACGCACACACACACACACACAAGCACATACACATGCACACATGTGCAGATGCACATACACACATGCACATAAACATGCACACATGTGCAGATGTACACACACACACACACACACACACACACACACACACACACACACACACACACACACACACATGCGCTTGCCTTCAATGGCTCATTGTTCACGCCTGCGCCACCACCTTTGACCACCTTTGACCACTAGGACCCGATTGGCGAGGCCGAGGAGAACTTCTGGCAGAACGTCGATCCGGAGAAGTGGTCTGAGATGCGTCTTGCTCGCGATTCCGTGGCCAATGCCGCCACCACTGGCGACGCCGCCGCCGCAGAGTAGACGGCAGCACCAGCTCACGAACACGGCAGCACAGCACCAACCATGCAGCGCCAACCATGCGCGTGTCGACGTCGCAGCACTGACTGGGTCACACGCCCTTCCTTTTCCCAGCGCCAGCAGCAGCAGCAGCAGCAGCAGCAGCCCTGTTCTTCTCTTTGACCTGTTGTATTCTTTCTTGGTGTGTTATTTTGCGTGTGTCTGTTCGAAGCTGTTGTTGCCTGGGAGCATGTGTGTGCATGTGTGTGCATGTGCATGCGCGCTATGTGCCGCCGTGTGTGCATGTGAGTGCATGTGTGTACATGTTTGCGATTTCTGTGTTTGTCTTCTTGCTCGTGCATGTGCGTTGCACGTGGCCGCCTCCCTGCGCTGCACTTGTCTCCCCCGTGTTGGTGCCCAAGCAACAACCCTTTCCCCCTTTCTCCTTCGTAATGTACATGTACATGGATGCAACTTTGTTTCTTGTGCGCTTCATGCGTATATGTGTGTCGTGTGTGTGCGTGCGTGTGTGTGTCTGTCGTGTGTGTTGTTTTTTTTTTTCCATCTTGCTTGCCATACAGGAACGTTCTGAGTTCTGAGTGATGGTCACATACGCAAGCGACAACCGCACATACGCAAACACTGGGACAACGGGGTGCAAGAAGCAGCGCACAAACATTGTCATCATCACATCATCGTCGTCATCACGTCATTGCATTGCAATCCAACCAACCAACATTCCTCGTGTTCGCTTGCTTTGTGTTTTGTGGTGTTGGGTCGAGTTGCGCGGGAAATGCAAAAACCCAAGCAAACAAAAGCACACAACAAGAACAAACGCACACAAACGCAGCAGCAGCAACGACACAACATCAACCATCCATCCAGGCCTGCCGCCGCTGACTTACTCCGCTCCACCGCTCCCTCTCCCTCTCACTTCCCCGCCCTCTCCCTCTCCCTCTCTCGCCCTTCCCACTACTTCTCGCTCGCTGTTTCTCTCTGCGTGGTCTAGAACGGCCGATTGACCGGGTCAATCAATCGTGCACACAGAGCGCTCGCTGTAGCACAGCCACCACCACCACCGTGACGGTGGCGAGCCGCTCAGTGGATCTCCACTCTCCTTTCCCGCCTCTTTGTCTCCCTGTTCTCATACGAAGCTGCTCGGACGTTGAGGGCTCATCCACGCACGCATCCATCGCACGGTGCTCCGCGTTGGCGGACTTTGTGCGTGCGTAACCAACCACACACAGCCTGCCAGCGCGGCAATGGCCGCTCACGTGGATAACGTGTCGAACACGGCGTCGGACGAGCACGACCGTGACCTGTTGCGCGCGTTCCACCCGGCATCTGTGCTCTACCGTCGACTAGCGGTATCGTGGCAGCAGCGCGGGCGCCCGTACCTGCGGCGCAACCTCGGCTACCGCCAGCGCCCGCCATCTACACAGGCCCAGCCAACACGCGGACGGCACGGCCAATGGTGGCGGCGCGCAAAGGCTGGTGTCGATGCGTTTGTACTTGGTGTGCGTGTTGCATCGATATCGCTATCGCCCACTTCCTCCAGTGCCCCTCTGTCGAGAGCCCTTCAGCGCAGCATACGCTTCTCGCTTCAAGTCACACCGGGAGGAGCGGGGACAGGAACGGATACAAGGCCACAACCACCCACAGCACCAACCACAGCACCAGCCACCAGTAGTGACAGCAGTGACGGCAGCGGCAGCACCAGTTCCTGTCATGGGCACGGGCAACGCGCTGGACCGTTGTCTGGTGGTAGATCGAGTGTTCACGCAGCGCATCAACCGCAGCAAGGGCAGCGAGGAAGCAGCGTGTCGATTGCATACCCTCGACATGATGACGCAGCCATCCAAGTTGACATGTCGACCCCTTCACGGCCACCGCTGCTTACTGTAACCGCAATTGTGTGCTGTTTCACGGTCGACAAAGACAAGGACAGCGAACAGAGCCTGGTATTCACATCCCACGCAGTACCGCTTGATGCCATCTTCAACTCCAGCAGCAGCAGCAGCAGCAGCAGCACCGACAAGCCCGTGGCCTTCTGCTTGCAACTGTGTCCCGACCCAGAGTCATCCGCTGTTCTGTTGGAGGCCAGCCGGCGATCGCGGGCATCAAAGCGCAAGTCAGACCAGCTCGTGGTAAGCCGGCATGGGATACTGTGTGCATGTGTGTGCATGTGTGCGTGTGTGTATGTGTGTATGTGTGTGCATGTGTGTATGTGTGTGTGTGTGCATGTGTGTGTGTGTATGTGTGTTTGCGTGTGCTTGTGTGTGCATGTGCACATTTGTATGCGCCAATCCAACAACCCAACAACTCTTCTGCCCTTCTCACTGTCACGTCCGCCGGAACCGCTGTACGCGCACGCCCCTCCCCATATCCCTCCCCTGCCCATGTCCACAGGACACGCTGCAGCTTGATCTCGAGTTGTGGGTTGCTGAGGAGCATGCGCGGCGCGCAGCAAACACGTGGTGGATGCAGCATCACGCTGACGACGGCACCGAGACCTCCTCCTCTGCTCTCCGACCAGGGGCACGCAAGATCGCACGCGTGCACGCGAACGGCGGTGGCGCTGGTGAAGGGCACCTTGGTGGCAATGACGCTGGTGGACATGTACACACGACAAATGGCAGCAGCAGCACCACCAGCACCAACACCACCGCCATTACCACCAGCAACAGCAGTAGTCGAAACAGCAGTAGTAGTGGTGATGTTCACACACTTATTGACAGCACGGGCAGCAACACAAACCACGACAGCAGCAACAATCCGTCCAGTGTTCATGCAAATGGCGATGGTGGTGTTGCTCAGAGCGGTGCAGACGTTGGTAGTGGCAAGGCTGCAAGGAAGTTTGCTCAAGGGCAGGAGAAGGTGGAGGTGAAAGGGGAGCAGCAAAGAGAAGGAGGAGGAGAGACAGTGCCACCGAGAGGCGTTGAGACCCAGGAAGCACAGCAGCAGGCAATGGGCGTTGCAAGGAGGAAGCAGAGAGCAGATGGTGTGACTCGCACATCACCACTAACAGAAACAGGCAAGCTGTCGTTGTTTAGCTTATTAGTTTCGTATTCACAGCTGTTGGACGTGGTACCGAATGCCACGTGTATGCTCTTCCTCCGTTGCCGCTCTCGCCAGTGGGCACTGCCCCTCACACAAGGTATCGCGCTTTCGGTTGCTCGCCTTGCCTTGGGTTGGTTGGTTGGTTAGTTTGCGTTGTGTTGCATTGTTTTGCCCTTTTGATTTGGCGCTTTGCTCGACAATGTAGGCGGCGCTACTATCACTTTGTGATGCAGATCAGCACACACAGATAGTCGAAGCACAACCTCACACTGACTGTGTTTGTTTGTTTGTTTGTGTTGTCGCTGGCGTGCAGCACTGCAGTGTCCGTGGTGTGGGGCCTGTTCCCGATCTATCTATGAGCTGGTGCTCCATCTTTCCACCGACCACCCCCGCTTTCTCGTCAGCTTGGAGGTGCAGATGCCCTCGTGTTGTGTCGTGTGTGTGTGTGTGTGCGCGTTGTGTGCGTTGTGTGTGTTGTGTGTTGTGTTGTGTGTTGTGTTGTGTTGTGTTGTGTTGTGTTGTGTTGTGTTGTGTTGTGTTGTGTTGTGTTGTGTTGTGTTGTGTTGTGTTGTGTTGTGTTGTGTTGTGTTGTGTTGTGTTGTGTTGTGTTGTGTTGTGTTGTGTTGTAGTGTGGTGTGTGTGTGCTGCTTACATGTGACATTGTTTGTCAACTGCAACTAGACATGGAAGCAAACGTGTATGTATGCACACATACTGTTGTGCGCAGGCGTCTCATTTGTACGCATCCAACTTGTGCCTGTAAATGACGCGATACGACAATGTTGTGCACTCCTGTTTGCCACCACGAATCTGCCTGACCGTACCAGGCGC